ATATATACATGATGGACTATTACTCAGGCATACAAATGTTATCCTAATCATTGGCAACAAAATGAGAGGCCTCCCTAAATCAGGTAAATTTCTTTCTTTCTTTCTTTCTTTCTTTCTTTCTTTTCTTTTCTTTCTTTCTTTCTGTTTTTTGAGATGGGGGTTTCACTATGTAGCTCAGCCTGGACTTGAACTATGAAGCCCAGGCTGGCCTCAAACTTGTAGCACTCCTCCTGCCTCAGCCTCCCAAATGCTGGGATTACAAGCATGCATCTCATGCCCAGCTCCATCAGGTAAATATTTTTTATCACCTGAAAAGTTTTTCTGCACTGACTCACTCACAAGAGACCAATTATTTCCTACTTTGAAAACTTTATAATGATCTCTTTCTTAAAGGGCACATCCTTTTATTAGACTTCTAATATATAAGGGTACAAAGTCACTTGGGTTTTTCTCTTGAGAGATTCTCCTACAGCTCCCACAAGCTCTTAATCATACATTTCTCAATACAGATCAGGCACAAAAAATTTTCTTTCTTGCTGATAAAGTTCTTGGGTTCTGGGATTTGCATATTTTGTTTAGGAGAAACAATGTTGTCATTAACACATAATCTCACAGAAACAACTTTGCCTCATAATTAGACTAACATAAAACACAGTAGTAGAAGATACTAGGAAAATGTTTTCCTGATCTTGGGTCCTGAAACACACTAGTTAAGGAGTATTTTATGAAGTATTTACCATTATTTTTCTTTGTCCATTAACTTATTTTCTTTTTATAAGTACATATTTGCAGTACCTAATGATTACATTTATTGGGGAGAGTTGGTGCATGTACATAACACATCTTAATTTTTCTTTTTTTATTTTCAACCTATCCCACCACTCCTTCCCTCCGTTCCACCTCTTGGTTCCCTCCCTATTTGCAAAAGTTCTATTTTCATCTTTTTTCCTTCAATCCTAGAATCTTTTCCTTGTTGACTCTTCTTTCAAAACCTATTTCTGGAGATAAGTTCTGAGAGTTAGAACCCTAGGAATCTAAACTTGAGTTTTGTATTAATGTAGTAGGTAAAGTAGACCAAATCATTCAGCTTCTATAGCCTCATTAGAATTGTATGGAGTTCATTGGAGTTTGGGGTGGGAGGATCTTCCCTGATGAGAATGATTCTTAGATTCTTTGGTTTCCTTACATTTTCTCTTTATTGGTCAGAGACCATCCATATATGCAATATCACTAAGAATCTCTGAGATAGGGCCGGGGATTTAGCTCAGTGGTTCCACTGCCTGCCTCACAAGTGCAAGGTCCCAAGTTCAATCCCCGGTACCAAAAAAAAAAGAATCTCTGAGATAGTATGGGGGCTTATAGCTGACTTGCTGATAAGAGGTGGGGGTCTGATCCAAAAGTGCAGATCACTGGAATGGTTTATCTCTTTCCCTGGATCCTCCCTTCACTCTCTGCTTCCTGTCCACCATGCAGCGAGCAAACCTTCTTGGATATGTCCCTGTGCCATGATGCCCTGCCTTGAAGCCAGCCAACTATGGACTGAAACCTCTACAAACTGTGAGCCAAAATAACCCTCTCTTCCTTTGAGGGTGTTAGGACTGTGCCCCAGTAAGGAAGAAAGTGACTAATGTGGAGGACATCTGCCCTGGTGAGAATGATTCTTAGATTCTTTGGTTTCCTTACATTTTCTCTTTATTGATCAGAAACCATCAATACATGTAGTGTCACTTAAGAAGCTCTGGGATAATATTTGCATAACAGGCAAAATGTGAAGTCCAGCTTCTTAGATGGAAGGAATCCTTAGATTCTGAAATTATAGTAGCAGAACAGCATCTGGGAATGACATCCCAAGTGTCTGAGTGATATGACTGAATCAGACACACAGATTAGACTGCACTGGGGAGGTCAGCTAGGCACACCTCTCACCTAGGCCATAACATTACTAATTGGTGGGCATTATTGAAACGTGACTTGACCATCCATGGAGTTTGCAAACACACAGTTGTAGGAAAGTATTTGTATTATTCAACCACTCAACTTTATTGTCAAACCTTAACCTAACTAAAAGTTATTTCCTCCCATTGTACAATGTCTGCTCTTTTAAGTTACATAAACTAGCTTTTAAATGTCTTCTCATTTAGATCTTAAAATTTCTATACAAAATATTTCAATCTCAATAATCAAGCCATAGAATCCTGACCTTTCAACATTCAGATTATCCACTTCTAGATGTCCACTGGTTTTATAATGTCTCTCCTAAACTCCAAAGATCAGAGTAGAAATCAATTCCTTGTAGGACTGCTTGCCAAAGTACTGCAAGAGGGCTTTCAGAGATTTATTTTGGGAAGTCATTGTATTTCCTATAGTCTTTTTTGTCTTGTTTTGTTTTGGGGTTTTGTTTGTTTGTTTGTTTTGTTGTTGTTGTTTTGGTACCAGGAATCAAACTCAGGGCCTTGAGCTTGCAAGGCAGGCATCGGAACCACTGAGCTAAACCCCTGGCCCATCCTATAGTCTTAATTGGTCTGCATTCTGGTTAGTAAAAGAAATAACAAGGTATTAAGTATCTACTATGTTTCTGGTATTGAGAAGACACTTTATGTTAATAAGGACATTCTCCTATACAAAAAATTACTATCACCACCTGAGAAAAGTAATGCTGCTTCAATAACATAAAATGTATATTTGATATTCAAATTTTCCAAAATTTCCCTTAATACATTTAAATAAAATATCCTATCAAGGTACATGCACTGCATTTGATTATTTTTTCTTCTTAATTTGTTTTAATTTTTTTTTTCCTACCAGGGATCGAACTTGGGACCTTGCACTTGCAAGACAAGAGTAATTTGTTTTAATTTAACACATTCTGAATAATCACTTCTACCTTTAAATTTTATTTTAGAGTATTTGGGGTGAGGTTTAGATCTAAACCCTAACTTTTCACTGTGATACCAAAAGACTCAGGTCCATCTCATTATACAAAATGCATTTAGTCCAATTAAAAGTCCTAAGTTGTCAGACCAACTCTGTGATGTCCACATGTGATATACTTTAAATATAAAGACGAAGATTGAAATTAAAATAATAGAAAAAAGCTATGCACACAGCAAGCTCAAGAAATCCAAAGGTGTTGTATAATAATTAAAAGCACTAGACTTTAAGGCAAGAAGCATTACAAGGTGCAGAGACCATCCACTTATTCTAGGATAGTGTCTCCCACTATCTTGTAAGAGCCTTAACATAATCACATCTTCAAAGTTTTTTATCATACAGGTCACATTCACAGGTTCTAGGGATTAAGATGTGGCTATCTTTCAATGGTAGGAGGGAAAAGCATTATCCACTCTACCACAACCTGTAATTAGCCTCGATGCTGCCACTGATAAATCCTTTATGTAATTTTTCCCCATAAAACAAAAAAAGATATTTTCAAACTTTTTCATAACTAAAATTGTCTGGATACTAAAACCTGACAAAGAACTTACAAGAAAGGAAAACTACTATATCTACATAAAAACTGTAAAAAGGTAGCAAATGGTAGTAATATATACAGGATTAATACATTCTACAATTTCCTCATCATCTTTCCAAGTGAATTTTCCCCTAGAACCAAAGCAATTAGTGCTGATATTTCTTTACATAGATTATTATTACTATGAGGTTTCCTAGAGCATTGTATGATGGGAGTCACACAGTACGCATTCTTTGGTGTCTGGCTTCTTTTCAGTCATCCATGTTGTGTATGTTGGTAAATCATTATTTCTTATTGCTGAGTAGTATTTACTCATGAGAATATACAGCTGATTCATATTAATTGTGGTAGTTATGCCCTATAAAGTTGACAGGAACACTGAATTAGGAAATACTTAACCACTGTTCCTAGAGGAAATGCAAAGATAGGTTCCTGCAACCCACTAGTCATGGTATTTTTGTTCATTGATATATAAACATTTATTTTCTTTATGTTTCTTTTTAAATACATCTTATTTAATATATGCTGACTCCTTAACACTGAATTCACAGTCAACAGCACTATAAGAACTGAATGAAGTTTATCTAACTTATATCTTCTCCATAAGGCACACTGCAGCCTCCTTGCATTTAGCAACACTAGGCATCACATTGCCACTATGCTTGAGGACCATTTTAAAGAGAAAAATTACTAACACAAAGCAAAAAAAATTCCCCCCCCAAAAAGTGGCACTGAAGATCATGAAAAGGGCAGTTAAAGTATGTGAACAGAAACAAGAAGGCAGACCATGTCCTTGCTCCACCTCAGCTGGGAAATTGTGCACAAGGTGACTCAAGTGTTTCACAGCTCTGTGTACACAGGCACATGTCAGCAAGTGACCTGCAACAAACTGCAGATATTGATTTTGAACTTACAAATAAATTTTAATGAGTATGTAAATTCACAAATATACAATTTATTAAATAATCAGGATCAACTATACCATTCTCTTGTTAATGGATATTTGTTTTGTGCGTCATTAGTTTAATGAATTAAACCACTATGAACATTCTAACAGAAGTTTTTGTGAAGATATGTTTTCATTTTTCTTAGGTAAATACCTGGGAGTAGATATGCCAGGACTAGGGTGAGTGTTTGTATGGTGTTTACCTAACTCAAAAGATATTGACAGAATTCTTTCCAAATGGGTATTACCAGTTCATACTTCTTCCTACTTCTGAATTTTTACTGGGCCAATCTGATCTGAAACAAAACCTGGAGAATAAATAAAGAAACTGAACCATGCCCTGAATTAGAGATATTAGTTGAGCAAAAAGGGCTCTCAGAGAAAGATTCTGTCCTCCTCAGCTTTCCTCATTTGCCAGTAACCTTCCTTCCACATGTCTCAGGTGGTCATTAAGTGACCCAACACAGCTGCCCTGAAGCTTGGAGGCCACTCTGTCGTACAGGTCCCATGGAGATGAGGACCTGCCATGTGTTCTTACATCACAATATGATTACTGACTCCTCATGTGTTAGGGTTCTTTCTGGGACCTGCACAGAGTTAACACTGAAATGGAAACCTCAAGCCATCATTTTGCAGGAAAGCATATAGACAGCCCCAATATAACTCCATGTCAAGAGATTATAAAAGGATAAATTATAAAAGGAGAGATTCAGACTCTCTCAGGACTCCTTTTTTGGAGCTAATTTCCTTTCGTCTTATCCTAGCTCCATTTTCTAAAGATACTCTCTGGTATCACCCAAGACCATATGGAATGATCAGAAAAAGGAACTTGGTGTGTTCAGGTCTATAATTGAAACTTGCCCTGACATAGTGAATTCATGGTACCTCCCTAGCTCATGTGTGACTTGGGAAAATCATTTAAATTATATTTCAGTTCTGTTATATATAGATCAGAAAAAAATACCAGCTCAGTCCTAAGACTATTATGACATAATAATAAGATTATGAGTTCATAAAACTGTAAAGGGTTCAAGTGATACAAAATATAACTGATTTTATACTGAACTAGATATAAAGTCACCACTGACAAGTCTATAAAGAAGTTACCTCAGTATCTGGGATTCAGTAAGTGCTCAATGAATTTTAACTATTATTGTTACTGCTCTTCTTCATCTTAGAAGTGTTCTCCTAGTTATCCAAGGGTGACTGTGGTAGTCTATCATTAACTGAGAAATCTCTTCATTAAGTGAAAAATATTTAGAGGTACTGCCTTTTGAATTGTCACCAACATACATTAGATCTCATTTAGAATGTACACCATCCCCTGTCAAAATAACTGCTCCATGAATGTTTTTCATTTCCTCAGCCCAAAACTGGTGATGATGACTAAGTGATGAAATAGTGGCGAAAGGGGAAGATGAGGGTAGTATAACAAAGATGGGAGGGGCTGGGGAGAGTATAAGTGAGCATTGGGGGATTCCAACCAAAGATCAGGGACATTGTCTCTCTACACTAAGATGGAGAATCTTGATCCCCATGGCCTTCAGAAACTATAGCCCTATAGGTTTCAGAAACTCTGTGGGAAAGATATGTCCTGAGCCTAGAGCTCCCCTTTAAATAGACAGTGGAACTAACTTCAGGGAGCTAGGCTTTTAGGAGGAGCAGCAGATAGACCTAGATCCAAGAATCTAAGGAACTAAATTTCTTTTTCTTTGCCTGAAAGGCCCCAATAGAGACATAGTCCCCACATTCCCTGGAATAGAAGGGCTTCCATCTGTCCATACTGAGCCATCTCCCTCCTCCCCCACAGCTGCATTCTGACCTCAGGGTGCCCCATACCTGACTATATCCACTGATTTGCACAGACATTCCTGAAGAGACGACTGAGCTGAGGACTCCATACCCTGCTGGTCTTCTGCACCTCACAGGCAAATAGCTGGACCACCATGAGATTTATTTTCTGTTTGAGTGTCCTTGCTGGTATGTATCCCAGATCTTCTGTATCCCGTGGGCAGAGGTTAGTACAGGAGAGGATGAGAAAGAAGAAGTAGGATCTATGAAAGGTACAGAAAAAGAGTCAAGATAACTGTCCTGAGAGAATTGGGTCCCTCCTCTTAGAGGCTACCAAAGGTTCTCAGGACAGATTGAGCCCACCCTCCTAATGCTAAGCTACGAGGTAGGTCATGGCATACAATTGCTTTGGATAATCCTTAATGGTGAGTATCTTGTCTGGTTATTCCAAAATGTGTCTCATAACTCCATGGGTATAGGTCACAAAGACAGAGAGCCCATTTTGACCTGAGATATTTCCTCTTTCCCAAAACTTCAGAATACAGAGGGTGAAGAAGTTGGGGACAAGAGACCTAATACAAGAGCCCTACCTGCCTTCTGTAGGCCATGCCTTTCAGAAGTTCTGATTGCAGAATTTGCCTGTGAGGCCTTTTCTACCACTCCTTACTGCCCAGGATGCACCACATTTATTGTCCTATTGGGCAAGTTAATTAGTTTGTCTGTGTTTCCATTATTCAGTCATTATTCAGTTGTTGTAAAAAATAAATCCATGCAAAGAACCTAGAATAGTACCTGGCATGCAGCTCAGTGTCTCTTGTCTTTATTACTAATCCATCATCTTTTCCTTGGGGTTTCTATGACTGCATATTAAAAAAGGATGGGGTAAGTTTCAGGCCCAGCTTGGCAGGATTAACAGAAGTACTGACCACAGCCAAGACAAAAACAGTACTTTATTTCTGATACCAGAACCAGCCTTCCTCTCCCTTATTCTCTAGACTTTTTAAAAAATTCATTTATAAAAAAATTCCTTTTCATTCTGTGAATTTTTAAAGTAGAAGAAAATAAACATCATTCATAATCCCACCTCTCAGTCAACACATCCTAATATTTTGTTTGAATTTATTCCCAGATTTAGTTTTTTGTATTTAAATAGTTTATCTTTGGTTTGTTGTTTTTAAACAATTGAATTACATTATATATAAATTTATTATTTTTAATTTAAAGAAATGTCATTAATATTTCTTCTCTAATATTTTTATAAATATTTTAATATATATGGTGTTCTACTTGTTCATGTGCTTCTTTATTTCAGCATTTAGTATAACCATTTTAGACATGCATGTTTCCAACATTCAGCTGTTATAAATAGTGCTAAAACAAATATGCTTATTCATACTCTTTATCTATATTTGACATCTATGGAGTCTATATATGGACTCTTAGGGTTGGAATTATAAAGTCACAGGTTATGGACCATTTATAATTCCTGATGTCTATTTTTCAAGAAAAAATCAATTTGCAAGTAGTAAATGAGTCTCATTATGCCCCTTTTTTGAGTTAATATTATTTAAGCCAAAAATTATTATTATAAATTTTAGATATAATGGTATGCCATTTTTATTTACATTTTTGTTAGAAAAATATCATGTATATTCACAGTTCCTGGCCAATTAAAATCATCTATATTCCTCTTCAACTGGGAAATTATGGTCTCATTTGTTCTAACATTTATAACTAATTATTTTCTCAGGGACATCTTTCTTTGCTTATTCATCTGAGCAGAAAGAAGATCCTGCTCCCTACTTGGCATACCTCAAGTCTCACTTCAACCCCTGTGTGGGTGTTCTCATCAAAACCAGCTGGGTGCTGGCCCCAGCACACTGCTACTTACTGTGAGTATTAGGCATCCTCAATGCCTGAAAACAGGAACTACTCATTCTAAAACAGTGATTCTCAAATAGGGGCCACTTTTCCCCAGGGTACATTTGGCAATGTCTGAAGGTAATTTTGTTGTCAAAATCAGGAAATGGCATGAGTGACATGTAATGGGTAGAGGCCAGAGCAAGGATCCTATCGAACATCCTACAATGTACAACATAGTCCCCCACCTAAAAACCTGTCCAGCCTGGTTGATTAGTGACACTGCTAAGAGATATTTTGCTATATGTTATACCTCTTCATTCTTTCATCAGTTTTTTCCAGAATTTTTTACTGGAAGTATGAACTTTATCAATTAAGGATCCAGCAGGTAACTGAGAATGCACTGGTAAATTGGTGAGATTTTAAAAGTAACTAATTCCAAGGCCTGGGATGTAGCTCAGCAGCGCAGTGCCTGCCTGGCAAGCATGAGGCCCTGAGTTTGATTCCCAATACCAATAATAACAATAATAAATTCCAAGGCCTGGGATGTAGCTCAGCAGCGCAGTGCCTGCCTGGCAAGCATGAGGCCCTGAGCTTGATTCCCAATACCAATAATAATAATAATAATAATAATACACATTACATCTGAATTCTTCTGAAGGTTCCCTCAAAAATGTCATAAACATATTAGACTGGTACATGGAAGGAATCCAGAACACTA